GAACGTCGTGGCCGATTTAAGTGTGTTGTCTGCCAAGTCCCTAAAATTGAAGGATAATTAGCGACGTCGCTCAACAGAATGTGAAGCCTGCCGATCTACCGAAAATCGAGCATCCCAGCTCCCTGGAAAACCCCACGATGCGTCCCGAGTCATGCGCTCGAAAGACTACAGCTATTGAGCCCCGCATGGAAGTGCCTCCCATCACGCACACCCAGAAGGTCCCGCGCAAGTTGCATCGGAGCATACCAAAGAGGAGGCGCTTATTTTGCTATCATCTCGACAATCGAGAGGTGCTGAAACTAAGTCTACTACAATTCTTTTGAAGCCCCACCTCAAGATCTTGACAATTCTGCTACTTCATACACAATCAAGAACCTGAAGACTGCCCTGTGCATCTAGAGCGGCTGTCAACCATACCCCGCCGTCAACGAAAGTAATGAAGGTACGTCTAATCATATCTTTTCGTGTGCCTTTTCTGGGCTTATCAAGAGCCAGCGACGGACTGCATACCTCCTGAGGTGATGCTAGCGTTCAAAGCACCTTATTGTTGAAATAAATCTGGCGGCGCACGTAGAGCAGTGGTCAATTCACCCCTTTCGGGACGGTCATTTCGGCTGACAGACAGATTGCTTCAGTATTCTTGGACGGCTCATAGACTCCTTGTCTGGCCTAGTAGCCCGCCCAAAGACCATGCCTGCGTCGCCTGCATTTCACTGCTGAGGTCTCCGACATGAACAGGGCTCCCCCATGCCAAGCCCGTGGTAGCCGAGCCCAAATCAGTAGGGCGCAGAGTCTGAAATCGGGCGGGCGCCTCCAATCTCTTTAGGGCTCGCCGCGGAATCAAGGATGCCGATGCGCCGCCCTTTCTGCCCGCATGCCAGCTCGAGCCTGCAACATGGTCATTTCATCTGGTCGGGGCTCCCGCAACTTTAATGCTGGTAAGCTTATTCGCGATAAACTCGACGAATTTCATTTTCATGGTGCAGAATCTGCAACCCGACAACATCCAAGCCGGCCCAGGACCTGACCTCACGGCAATCCGGCAAGGCCTAAGGTACCAACAGCCAACCACCGACTTGAACTGCTAAAACATTGTCCCAAGGCAGTAAAAATGCCACGACGCAGGCATCCAAAGAAAGTGGAACTGCCCCAGGCTTTTTAAAGTAGTCCCCACGTGCTTAATTGCATCAAGCTATGAGGAAGAGGGGGCTGGATCGTCTGTTCGATCCATGAGAACAACCTCACTACATGCAAGCTGCACTAGGGCATCAGCAACTCATGGTAGCTCCCCTTGATCTTCCACCGTTCACAGGCCGTCTCCAAGACGCCACCTCCCCTTCATCTCCCAAGAAAGCTGGTCCTTTCCCTCATCTGCTCGTCTCTTGACATCACCAAGGGTCAATGAGCTCCTCCCCTGAAGCCAACCAGTGCTCCTCGCAGCGCCCTTCTGCCATGCAATGCACAGCAATCGCCAACGCGCCACGAGCGGACCCACAGGGCTCCGCTGGCCCCAGGACGGGAAAACGAAAAACGAAAATTCCACCACTGGCATCGCGAGGCAAAAGGCGGGTGAAGTGTGGCGCGATCGTTCCTGGGACTCGACGAGGAGCCACAATATAGACAAGCAATGGCATTGGCTCGGCCCACGGACACGGCAGGGGTTCTCCGCATGAGTGGCGCATCTTTCGACATTGGGGGAAGGCTCTCTAGTCTGGTCAGCATCTTGACACTCTCGGCGTTGTAGGACACTTGTGTTGTGACAGCTGTAGGATGGGAAGCCAGAAGAAAAGTACAAATACCATGGACGACGATCCTTCTTGATGGCTGAAAGAAGCTCTTCAGCAGCTACAGTCGACCACCGTCTCTCTGCCGCCCGATCTCCTCGTCCTATCCCATCCGATCTTTCATCATGAAGTTCAACGTGGGCCTCCTCTTCGTGGCCTTCGCCAGCGTCACCTCTGCCTTCCCTCTCGAGTATCTCAAGATTGCCTCTTGGGATGTCGAGGGTTTCGCCAAGAGCAACCCCATTGGCGTGACCACTGGCGGTAAGGGCGGACCGACCGTCGTGGCCACGACAGCCGCCGAGCTCATCGCCGCCGTTGCCGGCAACGACCCCAAGATCGTTCGCGTCAAGGGCGACATCACCCTGGCTGCACGTCTCAAGGTCGGCTCCAACAAGTCGCTCATCGGCGTTGGCTGGTCGGCGCATATCACCGGTGCTGGTATCGATGTCTTCAACGGCGACAACGTTATCCTCCAGAACCTCAAGATCAGCTACATTGTCGACAACGACTGCATCACTATCCGCAACTCTACTCGTGTCTGGGTTGATCACAACGAGTTCACCTCCGACATCACCCAGGGACCTGATGCTTACGTATGTCTTCAATGTCAGAGTCTTGATGGTACCAGACGATTAATCAAGGAAACAGGACGGCCAAGTTGATATTATCCGTGGATCCGACTATATCACCGTCAGCTGGAACTATTTCCATGACCACGTACGTTGAGCACCCACAATAATCAGTTACCTGTCTCCTGCTAACGCATCATGATAGTGGAAGTCCTCGCTGATCGGCAACAACCCCGATTTCCGCGACATCGACTCCGGTAAGCTGCACGTCACCTACCACCACAACTGGTGGAAGAACATGGGCACGCGCGGTCCCGCCGGCCGCTTCGGCCGCCAGCACGTCTACAACAACCTTTACGAGGACTTCCTCTACCAGGCCATTCACTCGCGCTCCGACAACCAGGTCCTCGTCGAGGGCAACGTTTTCCGCGGCAAGACCCGCGAGGCCCTGAGCTCCTACGGCCTGGTCATCCCCGAGGACTCGCCCAACACTTGTGTCTGCGGTGACGAGGAGCTCGACGGCTATGCCAACCTTGGTGCCAGTAAGTGCTTTGCCCCTTCTCCCACTCAAACGGAAACAGCCCGAGAATCAGTACTGACGATATCGTGCAGAGAACGACTGGGGCAACGCTGGTGTCAACATAACCCAGGTTGGCGACTTCTACAAGGCCGACTACAAGTTCAAGCTCACCCCGCTGAAGCTCGTGCCGCTCGTCACGAAGCTCGGTGCCGGTGTTGGACGAATCTGGTAATCGGTGCTGGAGTGCTTATGCATACTATAGAAAGCAGGGAAGGAGGCGCTAGATTACGGCATCTATACTTGTATATACATTTCAGTAATCGTAATTTGTAAATGTCTCTCTTCAAGGTCAAAAGGCGGAGACCTCAGCGTGATATGAGTTCAAGCATCTTTCAAGTAACCAAAAGCAAACGCTAACAATGCTTGGACAGTCGCGCGGGAAGAACAAGGCCGTGTCACTTCTGTAGCTATCAAATCAAGGGCCCCTTGGTGGTAACCTTGGCCGCAGATAGTGCAATACGCAAACAGATGTGGTGATCCTCTCAGCACATTGGAGAAGACTGCTGCATCTGACATGGTCTATTTCTGAGCCCATTTGTTTTCGATAGGGAAAGGATGGGAGCTGCATTACAAGGGAACCACAAATAAGGGCACATATGCGCATCTGGTCCAAGGCTGATGGACGAACCTCCATAGGCAATGAATGCCCTGTAGTATCTCAATTGCATAGTCTGCTTCACAGGTGCAGTAAATTACCTGAACGATCGTCGGTTACCATTGATAAGGCCCTGTTACGTGGTGGAATAATATAGGATCAGTTCCCATCAACCACCCTGTCTTTGAGACACTGGACAACAATTGATCATGTACTGGCGGGTCTGAGGTGATTATAAAGACAGACAGTGAACGTTTAGCATTGCAGAACTTGAATAATTTTTCAATCATCCATGAGGCTAAGACTTGAGTATGTACAGCAAACTGCAAACTGAATAAAAGAGTGTCATCTGCTGATTCATGCCACTTTACCATAGTCACTTCACTTTGCTATGAAAGTGTAAAGCAAATAAGAAGCCGAGCAGAGATTTTAACCGATAAACTATAATAGGCTCTTACAAGACGTTTATGAGTCTTTGTTGGAGTGCATTAAGCGCACGAAAGTACTGACTTTTAGGCTGTATGAGCTGGACTCAGGGGCTTACCAGATGCTATCCCTACTTCATTTAAAGGGTGTCAATGGCCGTCACATGAGGTCTACTGAAATCATCGAGATGTATTGAGATACACGGCCTATTCCAGTATTTGACCAGGTGGCGATCTGCTGGTTCAGACGGCCGAAGAGATTTCCGTAACTGCGTCACGAATCCAATGGGAACACGCTACGACTAGTGGTAGAACATCGGTATGTGTTTATTTCCAATTCAACACTCCTCTGCTCTCGGGTCGAGATCATGATCCGCATAATTCATGAGGACACTTGTAGGCTGGAACGTCTATGCTCGCGGCATCTGGCTTAGCAAGCGTGATGCAAATAAGGGTCTGGGACTAGAGTGGCTGCTAGGACTGTACATCGTAGCATGAGAAGGTGGCTTTTGTCCGAAGGTTACTGTCAAGGGAGCTGATCTGACATAACAGGATGGTCAACTTCATCTTCCGCCGGCCGGTCACTGCATCGAGTTCAAGTAGATAGCACCCAAAGACAGTATCTTGAAAGAACACCTAAATATCGTGAGGAGTTCAACACCAGTGTTTGAGCTGGAATGACCTATCTCGATGGGTTGATCACTTGGCCACTTGGAACATCAGCGGGCCATCTGTATCAACGAAAACGCAATAAGCGATACCACGTTGCGGACGAATTCACGTCGACAGCCTCCCAGCTAAGCAATGACACGCGTTCTCTGACGTTCACCTCGTCCTTTGTCGTCTTGAACTCAACCCTACGAGGTGAAAATCACAAGTGCTGGATAACCAACCTCGGTCATCATCCGGCCACCATAGCATCCAAAGTCATCCGTATTCCGCGGACCGAATCCGAGTCATTTTCACACTCAGGACATGAATCTGGCACTGAAAGAGAGAGAAAGAGAAAACCGTTGCAGTCCATCACCGGAGGTACAGGGGCATGTTCATCTCCCGGACAACTTGGCAGCCAGTGCAGATCCACTTGGCGATCATCAGGCTTGGCCGATGATGCGCCTGGCGTTGCAATATGATTCATTTCGAGAATCACAAAATGGATAATGCCAAGACGTCAGAATCCAGACGTTTCAATCCTATTGATGCAGTATTGGGTCGACAAAATGCCTCATCGGGCGTCGAATGGGCCAAGAACGTGCAGGCACAGCCTCATTGCAGAGAAAGCCAAACAGCATCGTTGCCAGTTGCGAGCTGCCGTTTGCAGGAGGTGCCCGCGAGGCGAAGGAGGCACGGCCAGAGAGGAAGAGACATGGTGCATTGTATGTACTGTTGAAATTGAAATTGGCATGGCTGTCGGTGAGCTGGTCGTGTTTTCTTTTTGGGAGGCTTGCACACGCATGACTCTGCTCAAACAAGAATGCAAGACGGCCAAGGGAGAGGAACGGAGGTCCGCCCAGGCCCTCCGTAACGGCCAGACGACGCTTGCGGGGGGCTCAGCAAGTACGAGCGTCAGCAGTTTCATGATCACACCGTCACAGGCGAGGCTTGGCCGGTGGTGACGAGGTTGTCGTCGTGGACGGGCGTCGTCAACATTAACTCTACTTGATTGCCTGCTCGTCGCAGCTGTAGTACCGTCAGCGTCAGCGTCAGCGTCAACCTGGGACGGAGCGAGGCAGACAGACTGTTCGCGGCCATCGAGATGTGTCTCTTGGTTGCCAAGGCGGTGTCATGTTCAGACTGGGTTGTATAATGCCAAGACGTGCGACATGTGGTTGGGAATCACAGGATGTGAAGCGTCTCGAAGCGAGCAGTGATCGACAGCTACTACTACGAATGCGAGAGGAGCCGGGGCGAAGCAAATGGATGGCGTACCGCGGAGATTGGTCCGCTGTTGTCAAGTCCCCGAGCGATGCGCGCTGTGCATCAACACGGAACGCCGCAACGCCGTGTGCCTTAGTAGAGAAGCAGTGTGCAGTGGTACGGCGAAGGGAAAAATAGTGGTTCGCCGTCGGCGAGAGTTCATGCCGTACCTCTGTCATGTCCAGACAAAGTGCCAGACGGCGAGAAGTCACGGAGGCCTCGATGGCGAGGCGAAGGTGGCTGAGGGCAGGGGCTAAACGAGGTTGGCGTCACGAACTAGGTTTGATGACCGCCACTCGAGATCGAGGTCGTTGGGGATCCAGAACGTGGTGATGCGGAGGCAAAGTCGAGATATCCGATTCTCTGCGCTTCACGTTGAGATCAGATGCCATCTCCAGGTCAGGTCGTGACGCTGCTTCGCCGTGGGCCGTTCGCTGTTGCGACGTGCACCGAAAGGAAGAAGGTACGTGACCTTTCAGCAGGCACCTTAGGGGAGATGCATGTGCATGCGGCCGCTAAGAGATGGAAGTGGAGAAGGTTCGATCGTGTTCGGAAGGTTAAACGATCCTATCAGGGGTCCTGCTGTGCGGGAGGGAGCCCTTGCCCCTGAGCCAATGACATCAGGAGCGACCTCTCTTTGACGCCATGGCTATCCTGGCTGCTTCGCCATGCTTGGCATGTGTCGGACCAATCGTGAAGGGCAAGAACCCCCCCCGGGCCGGGATACGGGGGTCTTGCTGCGAAGCTTGGCGTTGGCATCTGGAATTTCAGAGAGAATGGAGGCAAGTGGATTTCTGGAGCTCTCCTTCCTTCTCTGTGTGTCTGGCTGTATCGTGCCTGCCTGCTGAACTGCTAACTGTGCCGGTGTCGTGTGCTGCCTGTCAACCAGGCACTGTCGACCAGGCAGCTCCCTCCACCCTCCATCGCCCCAAATCTACCAAGCACCACGATCGCAGCGTCTCGACCCCGATGGTCCATGACCAGAGCCAGACACGTGCAACGAGGACCCGAGGAGCTGGACTGAGGAAGAGGCCGCCGCCAGAGAAGTAACACGAGCTGTGCTGCGCCTCCACGATCGATGACCGACATGGTCACCCAACGAATGACTCGACCTAATCCAGCTATCGTCGTCTGAACGCACGTTGACAGTCCGACGGCGTGAGATCGTTGAGGGAGGGGCCCAGATCTAAGATGCACGACGCAATAGAGCATTGTACAGCACACACTGGTTGACGATCCGACAGAAGCCTTTGTTTCCCGAGCTCGGTCCACCACCTCTACACACTGTTGGGATGGCAAGGATGGATGGGGAGTGGTACCTTTCCAGGTGCCGGTCCGACCTTGAGGCCTTGGTGCTGTACTGTGTACGGCGTCCCTGCCGGCGTACATGGCAGCTTGGCCAAAGTCAACTTACAACTAGCCGACCTTCATGTCCGGCGTTTCGTTTCGGCGGTGAACTGGCTGACCGCAACGAATCGAGCTCCAAACGTCAACCCCCCAGATGGACCGGCGAGACGCTCAATACTCGACGCTGGCGCCCAAAGGCGTCAATGTCCCTCTTGGCACTTCACCAGCAACTGGAAAACCAACGCATCGAACCTTCGACAGACAAATGACAAAACTCCCTGCGCTGCAAATGGCTGTGGTCCGGCCTTTGGACGAGCGCCAATTGGACAAACCAGAAACCATCCTCCACGGTTGGGTGCCCACTCGCGTGCTTTCGTGCTCCTGCACAGCCTCAATGCCTCCCCTCTCATGCAGTCCCCCCTCTCAAGGATTGGGGGTCAAACGGGTTTGCTGTGGTCCTTGTCCCAGCGCTTTTGGCCGTCTACTCGACCCTTCATTGGATACTGCGTCTGGAAGGGAGGGAACTTCAGGAAACCGTTCCAACAGATGCTGCAGTATCACATCACCATGGCGCCCTCTGTCCCCCCCTCTTTGGTTTACGGCGAAGTTTTCTCCTCGCGAAACATCCGCCAAGGCCCGAATCATTGCTTGATTCCTACATCAGGGGCTTCAATCACGCTTCTCCCCTTGTGGGGAAAGGCCCCTCTCCCTTTCCATGGCCTGGATGATTCCTCGAGCACACGACTCGCCCACGTCCAGTGATCGACTAGGTATTCGACCCGTCTAGAAACTTTTAGCAGGCCTGCACAGCCCCCCTTGTGCCTCTTCCCTGTACCTTTTTGCCCATCCACCCGCTTGTTCGCACACCCCCCGAAACCGAGCAGACGA